ACTGCAGCAGCAGCAGCAGCAGCAGCAGCAGCAGCAGCAGCAGCAGCAGCAGCAGCAGCAGCTGACTTCAGGAGGCAGCTGCAGCACTCTGGGGTCTTGCTGCAAAGCAGCAAAAAGACGAGGTCCAAAGACAGCCCCTTGAATAGAAATAAAAAGCGAAGAAAAATTAAAAGCAGAAAATAACAACACGTCCTTCACCGCACTCAAAAAAACCTGCATAGACACCCCAAAACCCTAAACCCTAAACCCTAAACCCTAAACCCTAAACCCTAAACCCTAAACCCTAAACCCTAAACCCTAAACCCTTACTAAACTGTAAACCATAAACCCTAAACACTCTTATCTAAACCCTAAACCCTATGTCTTCAGCCTTTAAAGCCAAAACCGTAAACCGTAAACCCTAGACCTTAAACCCTAAACCCTAAACCCTAAACCCTAAACCCTAAACGCTTTTGTTAGTGGCATTAGTGGGGTCGGACTCTGCGTAGATTTTCTGCTGCAGCAGCAGCAAATTCAATTGTGTCTCCTTCTCTCCATTTGCTGCTGAGGAGACAGCGCAGAGCAGCAGACGAAATGTTAGGGTTTATATTATTTGTATTTGCTGCAGAGACACCCGAAGACCAAACGAAGCCCCCGAGGGGGCCCAACATAGAGGGGTATACGTCAGAGTGAAGCCCCCGAGAGAAAGAAGCTTTTAAATCATTTGCTGCTGCTGCTGCTGCTGCTGCTGTTGCAGCTGACGGTGCTGCTGTTGCTGCTGACGATGCTGCTGTTGCTGCTGACGGTGCTGCTGCTGACGGTGCTGCAGCTGATGCTGATGATGATGATAATGATGATGATGGTTCTGCTGCTGCTGCTGTTGTTGCTGCTGCTGTGGTTGTTGCTGCTGTGGTTGCTGCTACTGCTGCTGTTGCTGCTGCTCCAGTTATATCCGGGGGCCCCTGGGGGCCCCCTGATTGATCAGACGTTACAAACAAAAATGAAGACATAAATACAAATCAGGCATGGAGAAAAGCTGCTGCTGCTGCTGCTGCTGCCGCTGTTGCTGCTGTTGCTGCTGCTTCTGGTGCGGCGATTCCTGCTGGTGCTGCTGGTGCTGCTGTTGTTGCTGCTCCTTCTGCTTGTAATGCTGCTGTTGTTGTTGTTGTCGTTGCTGCTGCTGTTGCTTCTGCTTTGGCTATCCCTGCCGGTGCTGTTGCTGCTGCAGCTGCTGCAGCTGCTGCTGCTGCTGTTGCTGCTGCTACTGGCGTTCCTGGGACAGCTCTCTCTAGTGTATATGATGTTTCAGTTTGTTTTCTGTTTTGTCCTGACTTTAAAAAAAAATATATTTTGTTTATTTGAATATTCTTTTTATCTTTTTGCTGCTGCAGTGCCTACGAGGGCCCCCCAGGAGAGAGTTTGTTTATTTGTTTTAATAATAACACGAAAATAAACAAATAAAAGAAAGAAAATAATTAAATAATCAAATAAACATTAAATACATATTACTTATACCTCATTTCATCTAAACCCTAAACCCTAAACCCTAAACCCTAAACCCTTGGGGGCCCCCAGGGGGGCCCCTCCTGGTGTAGGGTAATTGAATGAAAGCTGCTGCAAATATATATTAAATTATTTTTTGTATTTGTTTATATTTATTTTTATATTTATTACATTTATTTTTATATATTTTATTCATACATTACGAAGATTTGCTGTAGAAGAGAGACCCTCTGTATATATTTATGTATATATTGCGGTGTATACGCAGCTCCGCTGGAAGCAGGGGGCCGAGAAGAAAGTTAAAATTTGTTTGTATTTAATTATTTTTTGTTTTTCTTTTGTGTTTATATGTTTATTTTTATTTATCTTCTTCTTTTATATTGTCTACAATCTGCTGCTGCTTCGTCTTCCTTCAGCACCTCCTGCTGCTGCTGCTGCTGCTAGCTGCTGCAGCAGCTGCTGCTCCTGGGGCTCTCCTAATTTGTCTTTCTTTCTTTAATACGCAACTGAACCCTAAACCCTAAACCCTAAACCCTAAACCCTAGTTTCTATAGCTGTCTTCGCCTGTTTCGTAGTGTCGGTGATAACACCTCGCAATGGTTTAGGGTTTAGGGTTTAGGGTTTGCGAAGATGCAGGCGGCTGAAGATTCAGGAGAAGGTTCCTATTCAGGGTCTGATGAAGACATGCGTTTAAACCCTCAGGCTCTGCAGCATTTATTAGAGCAGCTACAAGACTTAGAGGGCCCCTTGGGGCCCTCTTCACCCCCTTTAACTGCAGATGCTCCTATTAGCAGCAGCAGCAACAGCAACAGCAGCAATAGGGGGCCCTCATCTTCAATACGTAGTAACCCCCCACAGCCTTCTCGTCTAGGCCCCTCTGATAGATTTGCTGTTCTTGTCTCTTTTTACTCTACTCTTCTACTTCTTTTCCTCTTAGTATCTAAACTCTGCTACATTATTCGGAAAAAAATGCGTAGTCATTTCGGGGGCCCCCACAGGGGCCCCCAGAGGCGTCCTAGGGGGGCCCCCCACAGGGGCCCTCGGGGGGGCCCCCACAGGGGCCCCCAGGGGGCCCCCGATGAGGATCCCCAAGGGGCCCCCGATGAAGGGTGCCCCCAGGAGGGGGGCCCCTTAGAGGGGGGCCCCCTAGAGGGGGGCCCCTTAGAGGAGGGCCCCCTAGAGGGGGGCCCCTTAGAGGAGGGCCCCTTAGAGGGGGGCCCCTTAGAGGGGGGCCCCCCAGAGGAGGTCCCCTTAGAGGGGGGCCCCCAGGAGGGTAGCCCTATAGAGGGGGGCCCCCTAGAAGGGGGCCCCCTAGAGGGGTCCCCCTATATATCAACTGCAGCAGTAATAGAAGATGAATATATCGAAGGGGGTGATATAAATAAGAAAGGAGAGAAGCCAAGCAGCAGCACGAGCAACAACAACAACAGCAGCAGCAGCAGCAGCAGCAGCAGCAGCAGGATTGGTGGGGGTTATGCAGCAGGCGAAGCAGCCGATGAAGGAGTTGATAACGCTATAGCGAGTATAAATATAAATAAAAAGAATAATAATAAAGAGAGATTAGGATGTTGTCTAGGAAAGAAGTGCAGCAAAACTAAAGAGATTAGAGGGACAGAGACAATGCAAGGGGGCCCCTATGTTTCTCCTTGTGCTCCTGTAGTTGTTTCTGCTTCTGCTTCTGATGCAGCAGCAGCAGCAGCAGCAGCAGCAGCAGCAGCGGGTGTATTTAATGTATCTCCCCGTCTATTAGCTTTAAGCCCTGAGCTTAAACGAGAGGAGAAACAGCTAAAAAAGCTTGAGAAGATTCTTAGTCTTGTCGAATTAACTTCAATGCAGGGCCCCACACCTGGAGACTTTGTCTTAGGCATTTTATCTCGCCTCCTCGATATTCATCATCTCGGCCTTCATCACGGTGTCTAGGCTGCTGCTGCAGCAACTGCAGCAGCAAATGCAGCAGCAGCAAATGCAGCAGCAGCAAATGCAGCAGCAAACGCAGCAGCAGCAGCAAATGCAGCAGCAGCAAATGCAGCAGCAGCAAATGCAGCAGCAAACGCAGCAGCAGCAAAATGCAGCTGCAGCAAATACAGATGCTGCTGTCGTGTGTCTCGTCTCGGCATTCATCATCTCGGCCTTCACCACGGTGTCTAATCTGCTGCAGCAAATGCAGCAGCAGCAGCAGCAGCAGCAAATACAGCAGCAAGTGCAAAAGCAGCAGCAGCAAATGCAGCAAATGCAGCAAATGCAAATGCAGCAGCAGCAAATGCAGCAGCAGCAAATGCAGCAAATGCAGCAAATGCAAATGCAGCAAATGCAGAAGCAAAGGCAGCAAATGCAGAAGCAGCAGCAGACGCAGCAGCAGAAGCAGCAGCAGGAGCAGCAGAAGCAGCAGCAGAAGCAGCAGCAGCAGCAGCACAAGAAATCCTTGGGTGTATGCATGCATAGGGCATACAGCCCCAAGGAGACCTCAATAAAATTAAATGCATGCAAACAATTAACAGATTATATATAAATATAATTATGAATATACATATATATATATACATTATATAGAATATACACTGTATATATTATATATATGTCTATAAATATATATGCAAATAAATAAATAAACAGTATATATATATATGTATATATTTATTTATATTTATTTATATATATTTATATCTATATATTTACATTTATTTATTTACATTTATTTATTTATTTATAT